GGTTAAAGATTTGATTTTAATTGTTTAGTGACATGCTAGGGTTTGTTATTAATCTTGTTAGTATCATGCCTAGGATCTTGCTATTATTATTATGCTTTAACATATTTATTATAATTATGATTATTATTGTTAATTATGTTGCTTGATATTTATTTTTATTGCTTGATCACACCTTTTATGCATGTTTAAAGGGAATTGGTACTTGTAATCATGCTTAATAAGATAATTAATAATCTTGTTTAGGTTAATTGTGATTATAATTCAAGTGATCGCCAATAATAGATTTGTTTGTGCATTAATATTCCACCAACATAGATAAACAGGTTTAGGGTTAAACCTATTGATTGCATGTTAATAAGAAAGCGCACATGAATACGATCAGAATAAAGTAGAGGCCAATTATTAGGGCAGGTTCAATCTCTTTTAGGTTGGATTTGTACCTTCATCCCCGAACCCTTATTTGGTTTTAGACCTTATGGAGTTGACGATCTCTTGGATCGTTAAGGGGTGTAACCTTCATCCTATGAACGGTTTACAAGTTCCTAAAACTTGTTGGCGACTCTTTTTCCCCTATCTTCTTCCCTTTTGGACGCCACCGTACTTTAGTGTATGATCACAGTGGGGTTCGAGCTAGGGGTTAACGCTTGAAATTTATTCCCTACATGTCGTAAACCAAATAAACAATAATATTGCGTTTTATAGGTAATGTCCTATTAGCATTTGGTTTAATGCCTTATATGCAAACAGAATCGAAAACTATACCTTTTTTTTCCGAATCAAACAAGTATTCCAAAACAAAAATCGTTGTCTTCTCCAATTTGCTCACAAACCCAGATTTTTAAAAATTGTTAATTTTTTTATTTTCGCATACATATAATGACCGATAGATTTTTCATCCCTTGTTTGCGATTATCCAATTAACATTTATTGTTTTAGGATTAAAAACAATCCCAAATTCATACATGAATCCAAATTTCGAATGAACTCTTCACATATAATATGTCAATCGATGCATATTTTCAATTTTCATTGATGTGCGAATGTATTTGCGGGACAAAGATTACCATAATGGTGGTTAATCTCATCCATGGATAAACAAACTTGAAGAACAATGATGAATAATGAAGAACATTGATGATGAATAATTTTTTTATTTTGATTATTTTAATTTAATGTTATTTTTTTATTTAATTAAAAACTGATTTTAATAAATAAATTTCAAAAATCATAAAAATAATTTTCAAAAATTCAATAATTATATTTTGGAAAATAAAAATTGAATTAAAAAAGAAAAATACTAAAAATAGTGTTTGACCAAGGTTAAAAAAAATAAAAAATTCGACCAATGATAATTAAGTATAGTGATGGTCCAAATAAAGTGGACCATAGTAGAAACATCCTTAAGTTTAAGTTTAATATGTTTAACATCCTAACTCATCATATAATAGTAGTAATAAAACGATAATGTTATTGTTAAGTTAATCAACTTTATAACAGTATTTTGCCCAAGTTTCAACACTTGTGTTCAAGTGCTTGATCAACTATATTAATACTGTACATTAACACATATAATTTTAAGAGCAAAAAATACTTAAGTTTAGGTTTGACATGTTTCACATCTTAACAATAGTTTTAAGGTCAAAAGAATCAAGTTATATACAATAGTTTTAAGGTCAAAAGAAGCAAGTTATAATACACACTTATATTTGTGTCTCATGTCAAGCACATGGAATGATGTAACGCTAGGTGCTTCACCAAGAAAATTTCATCGAATCGTCCATTCAATTAACGTTACAGCTTCAAACTCATCAAGTTGGAGAGCTTATGCTTGTATATGTATTTTTACTTTCTCTTCTAGTTATCTATATTAAGTCCATCAAAATTGTATTTGTAAAAACATTAACTATAAAAACAGGCTTTTAAAACCCTATGGAACCGACACTCGCTATGGATACCATGAAGTAAAGGCCTATTACTCAAAAATCATATATATCATCCACATGAAAGTTCTAAGTTGGAACATTCGAGGAGGGAAAAGGATGGAAGCTTGCAGAATCAGTACATCTCAAGAATAAGCACAAACTAGATATTATTTCTGTCCTGGAAATAATGACAAATGCGACAAATAGTATTAGGATTTTTAGGTCCTTATATTTTGATCATAAATTGTTTATAGAGCCTACAAGGAATTCTAGGGGTATTTGGGCATGTTGGAATGAGGAAAAATAATTATAAATCAGACTACCTTAACTGATAGACGTGCACACTTTTTAGTAAAGATTTCTTTACTACGGACGTCTACGAGCCAGCTCAAGAAGTTGACAAAGGAAACTTCAGGGATTATCTCATCACTTTTGTTTAGCTCTAATGTAAGTATTTCATGGTTAGTAATAGGGGACTTCAATGAGATATTGTTCCCAAGAGATAAAATTAGTGGAAGACCCTTTTTACCTCACCAACCAATGGCGGATCTAAAAACAAACAAAAAAAAAAACCTGCTGATCAAAGAGACTTGTTATTTGAACAGTTGGTCTCTTTGATTCAGTCATAACCTCCGTGTCACCATACCAATTCTTGTTGTTTTTAGCTTTAAACTAAAGAGACCTGTTTTGTATAATAACAGGTCTCTTAGGTTTTTTTTTCTTTTATATTTCTTTTTATAACCTGTTGTGCCTTATTTTTTTATTTTTATATTTTTATTTTTGTTTCTACTTTATATATTTGCATAGCTAATTATGTGTTCAACTAGTTTTATTTTGATGTCTTTCTTTTAAGTTATGGAAAATCGAGTACTAGAATTTATCATTTTTAAACTATAAAATAAATATATACTCATACTTTAATTAATTTTTATTCATCGGATAGTCGTATTACTCGTATATGATACCAATCATAATTTCTTTTCTAAAAATGCGTAGCTTATAATTCTTCGAAACTCCTTCATTTGACGAAGTTCTTCCCAATTTTTTGCACTTTTATTTCAATACACATATTTAGTAAGTAATTTATTTACTGCTGAATAGAATTTTATATGAGTAAAGCAATTAAGAAAATTTATAGTATATAGTAGTATTATTAACCATACATATACAAAGTAGTTTTTAAACTTATGATACACGGAGACAACGGAAAAAGTAGAAAGATAATCTATTGAACATATAAAGTACTTTTTAATTTGACCAATGTATTATATTGATAACTAGAATATAAGTAATGAAAATTTATCAAACAAAACAAATCTTAAAAATTTAAAGGCTAATTAACGCTAATATATATAATAACTCGTTTTAACCCTTTTTTCTCTTATTGTTTAATGGCTAAATGTTACCCCTACTTAAAATTCCTGGATCCGCCACTGTCACCAACTACAATGTCTCCCCAACTTCCTAGCCACTACTTTTTCCATAGACATTCTAAGCTACAATATCTCAAAAATCTTTCTCTTGGAAACAAAGTGCTAATGTGACATACGAAAAATTAGATAGGGTTGTTTGCAACCAACCCTTCCTCCATTATTTTCCTAGATGTTAAGGTTGCTTTGACACTTTCACAATCTCAAATCATACTCTTGCTAATTTATGATTTTCACTATAATGATCAAATTACTCCTGAACGTCTATTACGCTTGATAAAGAATCCCATGACTTAGCTAAAAACATTGGTCACATTCAATCCAAGGATCAAGATTCTATAGGATCCAACAAAAGTTCACTCGCATCAAAAGCCAACTAAAAATTTGGGTAGGGAAAAGATATGGAAACAATGACAACAAATTATTTTGCAATGCTGAAAAAATTTCTTCCTTTGAATAGAGTTCCCTATGCTCTCAACCTTTTAACCCTATTCTAGTTAGCCATCTTAATCGCATGATTCCATGAAAGGGAAAAACTCCTCCTGTTTGGGAAAAATCATTATGGAAAGTTATCTTGCAAAAAGTTGGATATCCCAAAGAGATAGAAACACCCATTTCTTCCATAGCAAGATAAGAAAAAGAATAGCATATACTTCAATCTATAGATTGGAATCCCCAATTATTGAGTACGTAAAATCTCATGAAGAAATTCACAAAAAACTACTTAACTCCTTTCAGGGTAGATTCAAATATGACTTATAAACAGAAGACATATCAATCTCTCTTTCATTGAGGCAATTATCAAAAATGCTGGTTGCGATCGATATGCTTTTAGATCCGTTTTCAAAAGAAGAAATTAAGCATTTTTTTTTTTTGGAAATGAATCCTAATAAAGTCCGGGTTCAAAAATCTTGGAGCAAATTTTTTTCCACTCTTATTGGCTAATAATAGAAAAAGGACATTAATTACTATCATTGTTTTAAGTTTCTTTACCCATGGCTGCCTACCTCCAGCCCGAAATCATACAACTATCACCTTAGTACCAAAAATCCAAATCATTTTTGGTCCATCAGACTGGTTAATAAAATTTACAAGGCTGTCAAATAATCATAGTCGCTTACATGTTCTCCACTCTACAAAAATCAGTAAGTCCCGGAATGTTATCACCCCTTATTGATCTATTAATGGCAAAATTATTATTGTTTAGAAAATCTTAACGCCTTTCATTAATTTAAAAATAAGACAAGTTGGTGTGCTCTGAAACTGGATGTAGAAAAAGTATATGACATAATTTAATGTGACTTTCTTTGGACAACTTTCTTTGCCTTTGATTTCCCTCTAGGTGGATTCATTTGATCCGCGAATGTGTGACCAAAGTTTCCTACTCCCTTAAAATTAACGAAGAGACGACAAATTGGTTTAAACCTACAAAAGAGTTGAGACAAGGAGGTCCCTTTTGGCCCTATCTCCTTATCTTTTTTTTTTCTTTAATTTTATTTATCTTGTGCATAAAACAATAAAAGTCTTTATTCATAAATTATCCTTGAAAAGTAAGAATCATAAGTCTGGAATTAGGTTAACACGTGAACTTTCATACGTCTTCTATAATATAATATTCTCTTGAAAAAATAGGCGACGCTCAAGCTGCGCAACGCATTTTAACATGACCTCAAATTCCTCACTTGGAAGATACTTCTGAGTATTTTTTATAACTCATATTACCCTTTAAATAACGATTTTTTTAAAAAATATGTAATATTACTCAAAGCAGAATACAACAATGGAAAGCAGACTATCTTTCCAAAGCAAGCCGACACACGTTAATTCGAAGCAATTTATATTAGAAGCACTTATACCCTTATAACTCTGCTCCTCCTCCTTCTGTAACACCCCCAAAATTCGAGTCTTTTAAAAACAATAAGAGTAACCTTTAACTTTCAAAAACTCAACCATCGAACTCTGGGAGTATTATGCTACACTTATTTTCCGTAGAAAATAAATGCAAAGTAAAAATAACATAATATTTAAATAAACTAAGTGGTCTAAGTTGCGGCAAAATAATATAGTCATTACATCAAAACTGCAAATTACTTTAAAATGATAGTTAAAGGAAATAATTAAATTCAGAATTAAACTAAATTGTCTTAGCTAAGCTACGTGATTATTCTAACGTCTCCTCACACGTAACCGAGTACCCTCTTACCAACCTGCAAAAAAAAAATCAGAAACAAGAAAAGAGAGAAAACTCCCAAAATCAGATAAACTGAGTAATTCCAACTTCATCCCGTAAAATAAATAATTTTAGTTCAAAAACATATTATACATAATATAGCCTCATAGTCATTATAATACTCAACCAAGTTCAAATTGTCACATAACATATTATTCCTTTATTTAAGAAAAGGAAAGAGAACGTCAGTAAGACGAGACTAGTCCCTGTCACCACCTACTTTACAGAGGGTTGCGCGTTACCCCAAATGGCCACGAAATAAAAAAAATGTCCCTAGTGTGCACACCCCTCACTAACACCCAATGATTAGGAGGAAGACTAACAGCAATATACAATAATTTAAACCCACTAGTGGGCAACCTGTTCTTCACCCTTTCGGGTTTCATTTCCCTTCTTAAATTAAATTTCACGGTACATTTTATTAGATTACATTGTCTGATCACCTTGCACACGAGTATTGCACAATTCAATTTAATTCCAAGTAACAACATTTCAATTTCATATTATCCGAATATAGTCATCCTACATGACATAGAAAATATCAATCACATATAATCCATCATCCAATTCCCAAGATTTTATTTATTTTAAAAAAACATACGATAACAAATAATCAATTTTTTTTTGAAAATACACATACTAGTACACAAAATAGAAAACTCATATATAATATGATATCATACGATAGCACACTCAACATATATAATTACATAAGCATGTATTTGGCACACAATAATTCAAAACAATTTCCTAACGGGATTCTAAAGATGATGGACATTGAAAATTACCTTGATAGTGCATAAAATCTCAAGGTAGTTAACCTCCGAAACGTTCACCTAGTACCTCCGTCTACAAATAAATAGATCATAGAACTAAATTAGTCTGACTCGTATAGTTAATAATCTAATACGAAGTTAGTAATAGTACAAGGGAAAAATAAACAAATTCCTATAAGTTTATGTTTGGTGAGAAAATTAGAGGTAAAGAGTAATAGGTAGTAGTGGTCCACTATCACATCTTCCCCCTACTCTGCAACTCCTACACACGCACCAACTCCAAACTCTCTTTAAAAAATCAATGGTGTCTACTTTTGGCAGAAAGAAAATCACCTTTACCTTTGATGAAATCTTAGTTCGTTAACTACATAAAGTTTACAAAAAAAAATTGAGTGGGTAAGACTTGAATCATGAAAAGGGCTTAGTGATTAGTGTATCAATTAAGGAACCATCACTTACCAACGAGGGATTGATCGGGAATGACGACTTGGTAAATTGAAAGAGATGAGTGTAGTAAGGAACCATCACTTACCGACGAGAGATTGATCGGGAATGACGACTGGGTAAATTGAAAGAGATGAGTGTAGTATTAGCTTTAGGATTTTGGTATATATATATATATATAGGTTGAATTTCTCTAGAATATTCATAAGATAAGACTCAATTCAAATTGAGTTTGTTGCAATTTCCTGTTGAAAAGATAAGCTTCAAATTTATTATTTTATCAGTTTTCAAATCTGATTCTGAAGTTATCGAAAATCAGTTTTTTTTTTTTTTTTTTTTTTCAAATTCGAAAATAATAATAATAATAATAATAATTTTTACAATTTGAAAATAATAATAATTAGTTTTAAAGCTTATTTTTGAAAAGAAATCGTTGACTAAAAATACTCCAAAGTTTGGGGTATTACACCTTCCTTCCTGCATCGCTAAATATCTAAACTCTTGCATAGAAACTTTTTTTTGAAAACAACAAAAATTAAAGATTTGAATGAGAGCCCTCTAATAGCAAGAATAAGATACGTAAACCCCAAGCTCTTGGGGGGGGGGTGTTGGTGGTGGGGGTTTAGGGCTTAAGACAGACTTCACCTCTTAATAAATCCTTCCTAGCAAAGCAAGGGTGAAAACTTCTCTTCGACCCTTCTATGGGTCAAAGATGATTAAGGATACCTTCATAATTCTTCATTTTTTCGAATACAACCACCACCCAAAATATTCTCTTACATGGAAAGTTATCGTTGCCCAAAGAGAAATTTTACGAAAAGGTATTCAATGGAAAGTAGGCAATGGAAAGTACATTTATTTTTGGATAGATAATTGGGCTACTAATGGAAACATACTAGAGATTTTACACTTACAAGGATGTCAAGTGGATAGTGCTTAAAAGCTGTAGATTTCATACTTCCAAACACGCACGCAATGGGACAACTACAAACTTAAATCATACTGTTGCTCTCCTTATGAACATTGCCTTGCCTTATGCAGATTTGACAGACACATCAGTATGGGGCCCCACTCCTTCGGACATTTCTCAGTCAAGTCAGCCACATGGATAGCATACAATCTTACTCAAGATATACCTAAGTGGCCTCATATATGGATATGGATACTAGATATCCCCCTAAAATCCAAATCTTCTTATGGTAAATGTTGCATGGCATTCTTGAGTTTAGGGACGTTCTTCATAACTGAAAAACTATTCCTTTTAGAGAACGCACATTATGTAACTCCTTTCGAGAGACAGTTGAGCACCTATTTCTCGATTGTGAAAGTTCAAAAGAAATTCGACAACACCCTTTAACTGTAAATTGGTTAGGAAGTACACTTCCATTTGGGAATTTGTTTTTCATTTTAAACAACCTTAAAAATAATAACTCTATGCTCCCTAATTTTTTTAAAATAAATATTAATTATGGAGTATTTGGAAAAAATGTAATTCCATAATTTTCAATAATGGCACTTTAGATCCCCTCGGACTTTCCATTGAGCGCATTTTGCGCTAAAGGAGTGGAAGTGTCGCACTATCATATCTCATATATACATTTTTTTAGCTTGGGATCCCCTATTCAAAGATCCTGAATCCATTCTCACTACTAAACCACCAACTCCACATGCATGGATGCATCTTGCCAGGTCGCCTAGGAGGCCCCTTCATATATACTCTTTCAAACTTAATTTCAACGGGTCACTCAAAAACAATTCAACAGCAACATGTGTTATCTTAAGAGACAGTGCCGGTACTCTGATTGAAGCTCACACCTTTAACCTTGGCAATACCAACGTCTTCGTTGTAGAGGTTAAAACTCTCACAAAGGCATTCTTCTCACTATCCATCACAAAACTCAACATTTGCACATAATGGCGATAATATCCTTGTAGTTAATGCTCTAAAAAGGAATTGGTCTACGCTATGACAAATCGTCCACATCATCACCGACATCCAGAGAATCCTCCAACATTTTCACAATTGAGAAATCCTTTACATTTACAGAGAAGCAAACAAAGCTGCATATTGGATCGTCAATGTAGGACATCTTGTTAGTGATAACATAGATATTACCCTTAATATTAACTCATCCTTATACGTTGTACCCCATTATCTCCTTAGATGCGCTAGGTATTTCCCTCGTTGTGTATCACTTTTCCTCTTTTTCTTACCTTTTTATATTTAAAAAAAAAATTGTATTAAATCATCCTTTCAAGAAATCTAGTAAATACAAAGGGATTTCTCTTAGGAATCTTAAATGATTTCCATTACCCTATTTATAAGTGTGTATTATAATCCCCTTTACCCAATTGATCAGCAATATTCTTCTCTTTCCCCCCTTCTCCAACCCCACCTACACCCACCACCGAAATATAGCATATCAAGATTCAATTTAATCATATCATAGAAAGAAAAATAATCACAAAAACAAACACATTTAAAAAAAAAAAAAAAAAAAAAAAAAAAAAAAAAAAAACTAGCCTCATTCCCTCGCATAACAACAGCAGTCTTTTCCTTGAACCACCAACAACAATGTCTTCCGGCGCCATTGACGACCCTTCCACCACCACCACAACCTTCTCTCAAACACCACAACACTACTTCTGCTATCAATGCAATCGCACCGTCTCTCTCTCTCCTTCTTCTTCTTCCTCCGAAGAGCTCGCTTGCCCCCATTGCAATGGCGGTTTCCTCGAAGAAGTCGAAAACCCTAATCCTTCTTCCTATTCTTCTTCCTCTTCTTTCGCTCAATTCTTCTCTCCTCCTCCTTCTGCTTCCGCCGCCGATCACCTCGCACCCTTTGCCCCTTTCTTCTTCCCCCCTTCTTCTTCTTCTTCCGCCGCTTCTCCTATTGAGCCTATCGACCTCTCCGCCATATTCGGGGGTGGAGCTTTTGGAGGTTCTGGTAATGGCGGAAATGGGGGTAATCAGAGATCCCCTTTTCAGGAAACCGATGTTTTCAACCCTCTTCAATTTCTTCAGAGTTATCTTCAGACTATGCGAGCTGGGGGTGCTAACATTCAATTTGTTATTGAGAACGCTAACCCTGAACAAGGTGGTGGTGGTGGTGGTGGGAATTTTAGGTTACCCTCGAATTTGGGGGATTATTTCTTTGGACCAGGGTTGGAGCAGTTGATTCAGCAGCTAGCGGAGAATGATCCGAATCGATACGGTACGCCACCGGCCTCAAAATCCGCTGTCGAGGGGCTTCCAATTGTTAAAGTAACGGAGGAATTGCTGTTATCTGATTCTTCACAATGTGCTGTTTGTATGGATGAGTTTCAACTTGGTGCTGAAGCTAAACAGATGCCTTGTAAACATGTTTTTCATTCTGATTGTATTCTTCCTTGGTTGGAGTTGCATAATTCTTGCCCTGTTTGCCGCCATGAGTTGCCTACCGATGATCCTGATTATGAGCAGAGGATTCGGAACCGAAGGGAGAATCCGGGATCTGGTGACGGTGTTGGTGCTGGTGGCGGTGGTAATGGTGATGGGGGTGGTAATGGTAATAGAATTGGTGGTGATGGGGTGTCGTCTGAGGCGGGTTCGCAGAATGATCGGACTGTGGAGAGGAGTTTTAACATTTCGTTGCCTTGGCCGTTTAGAAATGTTGGGTCTTCAGCCGAGGGGAGTAATGCTTCTGGTGATGGTAATGAGGCGAACCCGAGGAGGAGGGGGAATCCAGACTTTGGATCAGAAACCCGAACAGAAGACCTTGATTAATGCTGGTGTCTGTTAGGTATATTTTGTTGCTTTTTGTTCTGTGTTTGTTTCTTTGTGGTTCTATGATCCTCAATTTGGTTTAGTATTCTTAGTTATTCTTAGTTGATTTGGTTTAGTATTCTTAGTTATTCAAGTTTAATGTTATGGTTGTGCTTTGTTTTGATTCTCATCGCTGGAATGATATTGAATAATATTTTTGGACGTGCATTGATGATTAGATGATATTCAAGTATCACAGAATGATAGTGGTTTATATTTTTGGATGTGCATTCACTGCATTGATAATTAGATGATATTCATGTATCAAACCGAATACGGTGATTTATTTCTAGATTTTCTTAATTATGATTAATTATTGGAGATTGTTATGCAAAGCTAACACTGTTGAGATATAGGTAAATGAGTAAATGGTGGTGGCAGCATATGTATTTGAGTATTTCACCAATCGTACTATTGGACAAGCAGAAACAGCATTAGTTGCATAGACTTGTATTTTCATGGGATTATAAAACTAGATTAATTAAAGTTAAGAAAGTGAGGGCCTTGTACACATTTTGTTTTGGTTGCTGTCCCCCTCTTTTTGGGGACAGGAAGCATATTCTTTGCCTAGTTTGTAAGCACCAATTGTTCCTTCCTTCAATTTTGCCCAATCTACTGGATTTTCTAGGTCATGCATTCTAGGAGTCGAAGTCCAATCACACTATTGTTTTGTCCTTTAGATAAACTTGAGTATGACCAACATCAACTGATCAGTGGTTTTCTTTACCCTGTTCATGTGAAGAACATTACGTTGTTGATAAACTTAAGAAGCATAAAATTTAGAAGACCTTTATTTTATCAGATGTTCTTGTCTAGCTTATGGATACTTCAGAAGTTAACAAGCGTCAGATAAAAGAGATTAGACTGAAAACCTTCTAATGTTAAGCAGCTTTTGGCTTGGATCAAAATCTTATTAAAGTTGTGTGGAATAATAGGGCCATCTAATTGATTTCAGACCGTTCCCTTGATTTATGTCGTTTCCTTCCTAAGTGTCATACTTCGTTTTGTTATTTCTCATCATAATACTCTGTGGCTCTATGAAAATTGAGATTGAAAATGTCTAGGCTACCTTCAGTTTACTTTTTTTCTCCTTGTATATGCTTATAGCATTTAGTCTTTGTGACATTTTAGTTTCCTGATATAGTATTGAAGATTTGAAATAAAGATGGAGTAATAGAACATGAAAATGAGGATAGTTGGTTCTTCGTCGAAATTTGGTCAATATAAAGGTTTGTTCCTTCTCTGATTGAGTATGATGGTTGTTTCTACGAGCTTCCATGTTGTTTGCTGTTGTCTTCTGAGTTTAGCACTGTATATCCAGCATTTCTAAAGCTGTCATTGCGGATGATTTTAAGTATTTGCTGTTTTGCATTCTGTTTTGGTCATTCCTTGTATGGCCTGGAGCTGATAGAATGATGAGATATAATGACATTTAGCAAATTTAATTGCAGATATACTATGTTTTCATTATGAATGAATGTAATTACTAAGCTTTTTACATTACATAATATAATTTACAACTTGATAGATGATAGGCTTGCTTTATTAATTTCACTCAATTACCATAGAAGTTCCTCTGTCATCACCTGCTGTTGGCCAAAAAGTCTTATTACAACACATCATTCTGTTGTACTAGTGCTGTCTGTGTATGTATTTTATTGAATGGATATGATGAATACTTAACAAGATCATTATAATAATCAGGAAGTATGGAAAAGCTTGACTTGTCTATCTTAGATACTTCTAATGAGTTTGACACTTTTAAATAGTCTTAGTCAATTAGCAATGACAGACTTTATTGAACAAGAAGCTTAGAGGTTAGGTAATCATAATGCTCGAGTTGTCCATTTATTAGTTTGGGAAGGAATTGGTATGCATGGAATATGGAGGTGTGTAAGATCACTAAGATGTGGCTGAAAAGGCAGTGCCATCACATTGGATTTTCCTGAGTTTGGAGAAGTTTAATTAACCTGCTGTTTGTTATTGGTGCCACTCGACTTCTTTCATTGTATCTCTCTCATAATGTAATTAATTAGTGCACATGATTCAAAAAGGATTCTTGAGGTTTTCATTTTCGACTTGCCTTTGCTCATTAACTTGTAAAACCATAAAGCCACTCAGCAATATAATTTGGATACTGAGCAATTTAATTTAGATACTGAGCAATTAAATGTAGATACTGAGCAATTTAATTTAGATGCTGAGCTTGTTGTGTCAGAAAGAGAATCTTACAGTTAGAGGACCAGAATTCATAAAATTTAGCTTCTTAATCATATGAAATTTGGATTTTAAAATTTGTCTTCTTGTTGTAATGTACTTGTGCTACGATTGTAGACTATTCAAGTTGCTCAGTTTTATTGGGTTGTCTAGTTATCTTAGTTTATATGTTTTTTGCAAGGTAATAGTCATCAAGTGAAGAAGATATTTGGATTAGGGACCAAGTTTTGTATGCATGTAGTAAAACTTGATCACAGATCAGAGCAAAGAAAAGTTTTAGTTTGTTTAAAAAATAAATCTAGTTTATGGACCAGTTGAGGATTTACATATGGACCTGGGGGCTATATTGCATCTTATGGATCAATCCCTCAATGAACTAAATTTTCTCTTTCTGGTTGTTTCTTTAGCATCTTCGATTTGAATGCTGAGATTTTTGATGTGCTGTGACCATTCTTGAATTACATAAAGCAGACCATAGACATCAAAGTCTACTTGCTGGGTCTTCTAGTGACAATGTTGCAATTGAGTTATTTAGTTATTGTTTTCAATTCATCTACTTGAGCGGTAAGGGACTTTTCAAGTGCTATACTGCTATGTCACAATGTAAAACTTAGTATGTTTATTTTTCCACAAATATTGCACCATGTTGACTTTCGAGTATTCACACGCTCTTGCACAACATAGACTGACATAGGATAGGAATTCAGTGTTGTAAGCGTGACCAGAAGTGGTCATCCATATTCTGGAAGCACTATATCTTGTTGGGGCGGGGCAATCTAATGTGGCAGAAAGGCAGAAGACATAGAATGGAGATAATGAGGGAGAATTGTAGAGCAGGGAATTATGAAATCATTGAAAAATGAATCGAATCAATCATCTTAAAAAGGGAGATAATAGGAAGATTGAAGAGCAGTGATGTGTTAAAACATAAGAAATGGAATCAAAACAAACATGGGAAGGAAAGTGGTAAAGTCCGTTTCTGTTTTTAACAGCCTTTACTGCACTATTTTGTTTCTTTTTGGGGACTTGAACCAAGCAAGGTCTCAGTTTAAATTATGAAATAGAAAATAATCCCTATACAGAAGTCCATTTTTCTTTTTTGGTGATTTGATAATTCATAAGGTTATGTCTTAAATCAGAAGGGTTCATTTTGAATTACATGAATAATGGTTATATGACTCAATGTTCAAAGAATCTCATTACGCAGTGCAGGGTTGCATAGTAGGACAGTTTGTGGCTTGGAGCTCTAGAAAATACCGTGTGCTGAGTGCATACTCTTTGGTCTATCTCCTTGTATAAGTCTGCTGCTGTTAACTCTCATGTAGCCTCTAAAACCACTTACAATTTTGATAGGTTCTCTATGTGATGATGTGGGTACTGGGTACTTGGGGGTAAACATTTACATATGCTGATTGTGGCACAAAAAATTAGGCCTAGTGTCAAATTTTCACTTTATCCGCTTTATAACTTGTCTGCTACTCCCTCCGTTCCGATATTAAGTGCTCATTTCTCATTTTTCATGGATTTTAATGCACAAGGATAAAGCAATTGGATTCCTTTCAAAGCAATGATTGGTGATTTCTTAATAGGAAAAAGGAAGAGGAGTGAAATGAGTGGGTGGGAATTAAAAGCAAAAGTGAATTGTCAAGTACAATAAAATGAGTGAGTGGGTGGGAGAATTTATGACAAGTGGATGGAATCCTTGGAGAAATAGGGGATTTAATATTAGAGATTAGGGTAAAATGGTCCTAAATAATAGGCCAATATTGGAAGTAAGCACTTAAAGTTGGGACACCCGAAAATGAATATACTTCCTCCGTTTCTAAATAGATGACCCATAGCTCTTGGCACTGTTTTTAAGGAAGAGGAGAGAGAATGTATAATTAATCATAGTTTGTTTGTAAAGCATATTAATTAAATAGTTAAATAAATTAATCAAACATTATCAGTTGCCAAACCCACCACCGACACCACCTTAACACTCTCCCATCACCTTAAACTTCACAGACCACCATGCCCGCCGATGCTGCTGCCCTTATCTCAACTATCCCTCGACCCTCGTCGCTGTCACCCACTTCTAGACCACCGCCGTTGTTGCCACCCCATCAAAACTACCACCGCAGCCGCCCTCTTCTAAACCACCACCGCTGCCGCCCGACCTTCTTCTAAATTAAACTACCACCCCGTTGCCATAGTCCAAACCACCACCACCACCACTGTACCACCCATATTTATCCCTTAAAAAAAAATGGGCTTGAATTTTTGAGATCTGAAGAAAGAAAATCAAGAAATCAAACCAACACCACTCATATGCAATCTTTCAAATCTAAATTTTTGGAGGTGGGACTTGAAAGTGTTGGTGGTCGTGGGTGGGTTATGGATCTAGTGGTTGAGGAAGGAAAGTGGTTAAGGTTAGAGAAAATAAAGGAGAGAGAAAGAAGGTGGTTGTGATGGTGAACATGGTGGTCTGGTGGCTACGATGGTCGTCCGACGAGGAAGCAAAGGGTAATTTGGTGGTGGTTCGTTAGATCGGGGCTATGCTTTCGGTGGTAGTTCTTTTGAAAAAGTTAGTTTGGTGGTGGTTCGGTAAATCGGAGTGGTGGGTTTGGTGGTGGTTTTTTAAGGGTGGTGGTTCGGTTGGTCGGAGTGGTAGGATGGCTGGTGTTGGGTTATGGAGATGGTGGTTGGGGTTGGGCTGATTATATAGAGGTTAGATAATTAGGTGGGAATGAGGTTGGTTAATTGTGGGTGATTATAAAATAAAACTTTCCATTTATAGTATAGGTCAAGTATTGTGACATTTCCTTTTAAGGAATGTTAGTCATATAAATAGAAACGGAGGAAGTAAGCACTTATTAATGGATGGAGGGAGTCTTTATTGTCTGAAATTGTAGTACTTGTTTAATTGAAAAATCTTTAGCTGAAGAGATTGATTGAAGATGATCTGCTCATCACTTGCTTTATTGATATTTGATTTACCCATTTGCTCTTTGTATTGAAAATTGTTCCCAACTGGTATAGCATTATTGTTATCGAAACAAGTGATATGTGATGTGAACTTAATTTTGCTGTTTTGTATCAACTTCATCTTGAAAGCTGCTCCAGCAGTGCAGTTATGCTACTTGACGTTATCTTCTTGGATTCAAGTATATGTATCTGGCATCTCCTAGTGTTTAATAACTTTAATTAGGTTATTTTGTGAAAAAATTTCCCACGATTAGCCCCTTTTATATCCATGTTTTTTTTTTTTTTACCTAAGATGAATTGAAGAGTATGAGAAACATAATGTTGTTGTGTCATGAAAATCTGCGGTGTAGTGGAAAAAATGTGTAGAAATGTTGATTTGCTACGTTTCTGTGTCTTCTGGTTTGGCTGGCTTCTTTCTACGGTCTTCACTGGCTTGGTTTTATGTTTCTAGTTAATGATCGATAATCCACTTTATTGTTACTAGTCTTTGACAGCTTTGTATTATGTAAGGTCATAATCTATAGTATCCTAGTCATGCCATTGAAAGATATTGCATGAATATCCTATATGAATGTGGTGATTTTGTTTCCCTTTGCATTGTATGTGCTTCTTTCACGATTTTCTTTACCACTCAACTATTCACATTTATTAGGGAGCATTGTTTTTGTTATCAGAAATGAATACATTGCTATTGCCTGGATTAATGAGCTTGAATTGTGCTATTAATGAGAAGTCTTGGTCTCTTGGATAGTGTTTGTGTTTATTATTTCCCAATTTTCTGCTTACAGATTTTATATATTACATTGGTTAATGGTTCTTGGTTCTTGGTTGTCCATTATATGCAGCATGGTCTCAGTCTGCTCTGCTTTGGTACTAGTAGAGTGCTGGAGGTTTAAAACTAGAAGTCATTGATATAGTGGTACTGATAACCTTACGTAATTTTACAAACATAATTCTGACTACTGTTTTGGGTTGATGAAATTGGGATGGATTTGGGAATGGGGTTGAAGATTAGAGGTGGCATTGCTTGTTAGCAGGTATGCCATTGGCAACGCCTCCCCTCCTTGCAGTATATGCCAAAGCCAAGCTGTTTCCATCACTCACTAAACTAGAGGAATTATCAAGTGTTTTCCTTGTCACCAATTACTGCTTGATATCCAAAGTTTCTTTTCATAGTCTCCTAACATCTAAGAAGCTTGTTTTTCAAAACTTCACTCTTTGGCTACCGTAGTTGGAATAGTAAAAGTAACACAACGTTTGTTGACACGTGCATAGATTTTATCTTTTGGGCTTTTCCGATACCTTAATACCTTCTTTGTCCTTAGGTCTCTTAATGAAGAATGAATCGGACCTTTGCTGTTCTGTTATGTCTAGTTCTTTCGTAGTTACCAATTTTATATTCACTTGCGTATCATATGGCAATTACTAATGGATCTTGTTTGTATGTTCCTGCAGGGTGCATCTGTAAGATTTGGGAGAAATACAATTGTTTTTATACAGTGAAGATTAGCTGAGATACATTCTTATCTTTAATGGTAATAATTGTAGGTAAACTGTATACTCGTTCATGGTTCAAATTTATCTCAATATAGACTCAAAACAAATGTGGCCCTTGAAAAATTTTGTATTTTAATGTGTATTCTATACAGAATATGATATTATGCTGTTTGGCCCCTGCTTTCTGTTTCTTGCGAGTTTTTTCTTTAAAAATATATATGCGCCCTGCCAATCTTGGTTGCTTAAGAAAAGATGGTTGATTAATGAACCATTGCCATGGTGGCGTTTTCACACCTTAAGCGAGGCACTTCATGTCTTTTTGCATGATGTGAAACGTTACAACATTATCAAATTACTCGATGTAATCTGAAAATGGTACTAGCAAGTAACACAGCTACATGCCAATACATTGCAGACGTTTGCGAGTACCCCCCGTTTCCCCTCAAGTTGAGGTTATTGATATTTTACAATGGTCAGAAATCTAACAGGTACAGGATAAAATGAACAGTACTTTCAATGGTGTTTTAGTAAAAGCATGCCCTTATTTCAGGCACAAGGTAGGCATACTTGCTGTGTGAGCCTCAGCCATCGGCTGAAAGTCAGCTAACTTAAACAATTGTAGCATCTACAATGTTGGCGTGAACACTTGGAAATTATGTGCCGATGAAAGGAATGGCGCTGTTCTGCGCCGGATTACAATTAGTCTAAGGCTTATTCGTAGACTTGACAATAGCAGCAAATGGGTGGTAGAAAACCTAAAACAAGCAGGATGAACTTGGATGTTAAGCATACAAATTGACGATTCCCCTTTTCGGGGCCTCCTGGTGAAATCCATCAGAAATAAAATGAGCATGGCTTGGGGATTAACTGGTTATGCATTATGTGTGTGTGAATAATAGACAATACTGTATGCTTTTTTTTTTTTTTTTTTTTTTTTTTTGAAGAATAATAGTAACTTTTTTTTTTTAACTAAACTATGAATATCATAATATAATATTATGAAGTAATAAGTTTTGCTTTGTTGTTTTTCACTAGAGGACATGAGAATGAAATATAACATATCCTATTATTAAGGTCTCTACTCTCTAGTGTTATAACTTGATGTTGAGGATACAAATATGAGACAAACCATTAAACTAATTATTCTCTCAAATATTTTTATTTTTTTTTTTATTTTTTTTATTTTTTTTAACATATGCTTAACCTATTTAGAATTAGTTAAAAACAAAAAATGAATTCAGAGAATCCTTAACAATGAACAATTAAAATTATTTGTGTTACTATTTTAATAAAATAATATTTAAAAATGAGGGATTGATGAACACTTCCATGAACAATTGTGATTGGTTTGGTTTATCAAATCATATGTGAATTTTGTTCGTCTGGCAAAAATAAGGCTTTGTTGATTTCTTGTGGTCCAAAATGTAGCATAATGTTCTCTAATGTACTAAAGCGACATTGTTTTTATTTTAAAAAAATCGCTAACACAGGCAGACTACATAAGCTTGCAAAGTGTCATGATGCATGCCGTTGGATCTCCAACGGTTAAGTAACGTTACAATTTTTGTAACGTTAATAATTTTAAACATTATTTAAAAAATACCAACATTCATATTTTTTCGTTTTCTATAAATAGACACCCTTATTGTTATAATTTTGACAATCTCAAAAATTACCTCTTTTTGAAACCATATTTTTCTTGAAAAAGAAACAGTTAGTGTCTTAATTTAATTCCTTCCACAAACCTAGCAAAAAAATTTAAAAATTTTGGATCCAAATATTCTTAATTATGCTTTTTAAAATCCAAAGCCTCCAACAAAGTACAAAATTTTTTTTTTTAAAAAAATCTACAACAAAATCCACCCAATTATCCTATACATTAAGAAAATTGTCTTCAAACTCCCTTTAATCACCCACAAAATTATTTACAAGTAAACTCCCAAAGTTTCACCCTGAATTTCGAGGGGAATTGTCAAAATTACCCACCAAACTTTAACTACGCTCAACCAAGTCAACCAAACTTCTCAAATGAACCAATTAACCAACAAAATTACGGTGGATATGGTCCAGGGATCGGTTTCAATATTTCTCATCAGTCAACACTCGAAGGAGGCAAAGCACAAAAAAAAATTATGCAGTTGATGACGAGGAAAAAGACGATGATGAGGAGGAGGAATTAGATATTCCAAGCACCGAGTGGAATTTCACCGCTAACATAGTCATTCTTCCAATGTGCACCTCAACAACCCATTGAAGAGCTCGATAAAAAATGGGGATGATACTGAGACAACCGCTTAAAATTCAGCGTACATGAACACAACCAACGATCAAATTGCTGGAACAAATCAGAAGTCGAATGTATTTAGGAAGAAGGTTCGAGTGTCCTACCACCTACGAAGCAAGAAAACAAACCCGGAGGAAATTGCCATTAGAATCATTAGTTGTTTGAAGGGACAGTGGTTAAGAATTGCTCTCGTTGTTGTCAAGTGGTATGGTAGCGTCGACAAGGAAAAAGCAAGGAAGCTTAGCGGGAGAAATGTTGATGATGTGATTGTTGAGGCCCAGAGGATCTAGAACTCCTTTGGGAAGTTTCAGTTTTACAAAGAGTGGCTCCAACTTAAGAGGTGGGACATATGTTGTCCATCAAAAAAGCTTGCGACAGTTGACACCCCAGGGAGCAGTAGCAGCGATAAGAGATCAAGGAATGAATTCAACACCAAATACACCAACAAGTGGAGACATTCTTGCTGATAAGCTTGTATCATGTTCCGATATGATGGTGCGTAGAAGGCTAAGTTAAGGTTGAAGGGCAAGCAAGTACCAACTTAGGCACTTGATACTTTCGAATCTTTTGATGACAAACTCAAACTGCATGACGGGAAGAGAGACAAGTCCGTTGATAGAGATTTAGAGAGGCTAGAATTGGAGAAGAAGAAAGAAGCTAAAAAGAAAAAGCAAATTGAACTGGCTGATGGAGAGAAACATTCAAATGCGACAATATATGATAGTTTGGGGCATGTTCCAACAATTTCTTGCCAAAAAAGTTCATGCCCCATTGGAAGAGCAGATGATCATCACACTCCAAGAACACCTCAGCAAATTTAGGGCATTTTAATGCTATGTTATCAAAGGTTGCATTGTTTTAGTGTTATGTTTTAAGTATTTTTTTCATTCATTGTTTTCTGTTTCATATTGGGTTTAAGTTGTGTTATGTTTAACTTAATATTTTAACCTTATGTAGGGAATATTTCAAGCATTACCCCACACTTGAACCCCACTATGATCATATTACTAAAGTACGGTGGCGTCCAAAGGGAAAGAAGATGGAGCAAAAGAGTCGCCAACAAGTTTTAGGAACTTGTAAACCGTTCACGAGGTGAAGGTTACACCCCTTAAAGATACTGAAGATCGTCAACTCCAATAGGTCTGGAACCATGACTGGTAGTTCGGGGATGAAGGTACAAATCCAACTTAAAAGAGATTGAACCTGCCCTAATATAGGGCCTCTACTTTATTCTGATCGTATTCATGTGCGCTTTCTGACTAACATGCAATCAATAGGATTAACCCTAAACCTGTTTATCTATGTTGGTTGAATATTAATGCACAAATAAAACTATTATTGGCGATCACTTGAATTATAATCATATTACCCCTAAACAAGATTATTAATTATCTTATTAAGCGTGATTACAAGTACCAATTCCCTTTAAACATGCATAAGAGGCGTGATCAAGCAATAGCAATAAATATAATCAAGCAACATGATAATCATCATAATCATGAGTATAACAATCATAATCATGTTAAAGCATAATAATAATAGCAAGATCCTAGGAATGATACTAACAAGATTAATAACAAACCTTAGCATATCACTAAACAATAAAGATCAAATATTTAGCCCTAACATGATACTAACATAAATATTAGAAAGAAAATAAGAAGCATCGCAAGAATCACAATTGTCATATTTGATAATAGAAATTATAGTTATTACCCTAAACATGATACTAGGAAGATAAAAAAATCCTAACATGACACTAATAATAAAAATAACAATCTAGACATGATCTCTATATCATAATAATAAAAAAAATTTCACGCGTTTTCTTAATTTGATAAGATTTAGCCGTACAGGAGGGCAAAATCGTATTTTCCTTAAAAACACATCTTTTATTCTGATTAAAGCTCTAAAAAGTCAACTAAAGTTAATTTATCAATGCTAATTAAATTAGGAATGAAAAGAACCTTCTAGAAGAATCTAAAAGACTATAATCAATTCTAATTTCATTAAGAATGATAAATCAATATTAGGCCCTCCTCTAGATCATTGGGCCGCATATAAATATCAAACCGAGCCCAGTTTAGTAATTTGGCCATAACTTCCTCATTATTCATTGGAATTGGACTTATAATATATCGTTGGAAAGCTCTTTTCGAACCCGACCCAACTACACTATTATTGGACCCTTGCCATGGACCAAACCAAACTGGATTGGCTGTCTTCTTAAAATAGAGTAGGTTTTCAAAAACAGAGAGAAAGAAAATAAATAAAAACTATCCGCAACACTAGACTTTCCACACTTTCACTTCATTCGATTATGATTTGACGTGAAAGGTACTCATCACTGGGTTTGGTTTTGGGGAGACACAAATGGGTGTCTAAAGAAGCCCCCACTTTGACTGAGTTTGGAGAAAATCAAGTTTCGAAAACAAAAGTCAAAGTATCGATAGGGACGGAGAATGATTTAGAATGTTCTGCAATCCTAAACCATTATTGTTGTAACGCCGATACCTGCAAACTAGCGTTAATTAAACAGATAAAAGAGTTAAGAAACGCGTATCTTGCACCGTCGAGCACACATCTCTAGAGGTAACCGATTTGTTGCTGCATTTGATGCTGTGACAACCTTCCACAATCTAGGGAACGCTATCTGCTGTTTGTT